ATCGCTTGCGGTGGCAACAAATAACCTTATTGCACTAAGGGGTACAAAGGATGTTTCTGATAGTTTAAGAAGACTTGATCGGCTGATAGAGAAAGGTGCTGGTGCAAAGCAATTCCAAATTGCTAATGGTTTAGATGTTAAATTATCCACAAGGCAAAAAGAATCTCTGTATTCAAATCGTCTGCTTTTACTTCTTCAAGCAAATAGGATGGATCAGGTTGAGTATAAGCTCCCCTTTTATTTATTCTCTTAAGAAACTATGATGATTCTTGGAACTTTTATAATTTTTTGAATGTCTGTCAAACAAATTGTGCATTTTTAACTGTAAATAGGACCATAATAAAATTCTTTGTTTTCTATGGTGTGAACCTGATATGGATTTGATTTACTTGGACATGGCATGACACTAACTAAAGGCCCCTATAACTTTACAATAAACTTTAACTTTGGACTTCTCTGTCTTATTTGAATAGTTGCTGATTACTTACCAGAATCTTCAGTTTTATAATTTGTCCAGGAAATGGAAGACTTGAGTTTCATGTTTTTCGGCTTGTTATATAAATCTTCTTATTGTGCTTTGTATTGTTGCCCATAAAGAAATTTCCATCATGCTGTGACCAAGGAGCTTGTATTGCTTAGAAACAGGAGACATGTGGATTAAAGAATTATGGATATAATTTAGTTGTTGTCTTATTGCAGGCTCGAGAACTCATCTCTGCGCTACCAGAGATGTTCCCAGATAGTGTAACACCAGTTCTGCTTCAAGCGGCTTTACTTGTTAGAGAGAAGAAGGTGGCAAAGGCTGAGGAAATACTTCTGCTGTATGCAGATAGATTTCCCGACAAATCTAAGCCAGTCTTTCTTGCCCGTGCTCAAATTGCTGCTGCCGCTGGACATTTTCAGATCTCTGTTGACTCCCTGTCAAAGATTACTGATATCCAAAACATGCCTGCAACTGTTGCGACTCTCGTATCATTGCAGGAGCGCATGGGCGACTCTGGTGGTGCTAATGCAGTACTCAACTCTGCAATTGAATGGTGGAAGAATGCCATGACCGAAGAAAATAAACTTGATTTGATAATGCAGGAAGCTGCATCCTATAAGCTCAATCATGGACGTGAGGAAGAAGCCTTCCAGTTATACGAAAAACTTGTCAAGAGTCGTGGAAATATTGAAGCTTTATTGGGTCTTGTAATGACTGCTGCTCACACCAACCTTGAGAAGGCTGAATTATATGAGAAGCAGTTGAGGCCACTTTCTGGCTTGAAACAAATGAATGCGGAGAACCTAGAGAAGACACCCGGTGCAAAGCATGTTGAAGGTACACATACCATGAGGGTAGAAGTTTCTGAGGATGTGAAGAAAGCTAAGACGAAGAAAAGAAAGAGGAAGCCTCGGTATCCAAAGGGATTTGATCCTGCAAATCCAGGGCCTCCACCAGATCCTGAGAGATGGCTGCCAAAGAGAGAAAGATCAAGTTATAGGCCTAAGAGGAAGGATAAGAGAAGTCAGGTTAGGGGTTCTCAAGGATCTGTGGTCAGAGAGAAGCATGAGACAGCTACTACAGCAACCAGTGTTTCCTCAGACATTGGCCCGAGTACAAAATCAAACCAGGGTATTTCTAGCTCATCCAAAAGTGGATCACAAAAGGCAACTACTCATGAGCAGCCAAAAGCTTCCAGCAAGTCGAAAAAGAAGTCCCGAAAATAATATCATCAAATACAACTGTTGGTGCAGGACATTTTGAACATTATCCATTTCCTTTGGATTTCTGCCCTTTCTGAGGCTTGCTTCATTGATCTCAATTTTTCCATGTTAAATCATTTTGTTTTTTTCTCTACAGTTAATAATTTTTGTCAAATCATGAAATTGTTTACAGTTGATTTTGATTTTGGCATTTGGATTAATAAGATTGTAGCTCAAAAATAAAGATAATATGGAGTGATTATGTATGGTATGTGGTGGAAAGTTAATCATTTTGTCTTCCTCGGATTAATATGTCAGTTTGACATGTCTTTTTTTGTATAGAACATTACTTGGTATTATACCAATGCCCAATAGAAATTTATATACAAAAATCTTCACTAATACGTCTTTACCAAAGACATTTCTTTTTTTTTTTCAGTTTTATCTTCGTATTTTAATCTATTTCTTGAATTTCATAAATCAATTCGAATCGGTGATTAGGTTTAGATCAAGCCTAGTCAACCTACTCTTCTTCCTCCCTTCCTTCCCCTCTATTCTATACATATTTAATTGATTTCGATGTTCAAGATACAGGCATGTACTGCACTGACTACATGCTACCTCTCTCTATTTTCTCTCGTTTACAAGTTGGAAAATTGTAATTAAACAAAACTTGAATTTGTTTGACAGATGACAATGAGTGTGACATATATGGATGATCTAATTATTTAAGGATATATATATATATATATATATATATATATATGCTCTATTAAAAATTAGATGATAAATATGTAATTTCGAAGATAGATGTGTAAAAAAAGAAATAAAATAAAAACAAAATAACCAATCGGCGTTGGGCCGACAACCGTTGCGGTATAACAGGTTAACAGGCTAATCAATACTGATGGGCTTCGAGCCGAGCCTGGTCGGCCCATTACGAGGGAAAGATGGAAACGCCATTGCACGAATAATATCCGAGAGACATAGCGACCGACACACCAATAATGCAAGCCGGCAACGAGAAAGCATCTTCGACTTTTGGTGATGCCATCCAAAGAGAGAACCACAAAGCAACACCAATCACATTACAGTGTTTTCCCATCTGCTGACACCATGACACATGCATAACACATACCTCTAACTTTATTCCTCATCGCAGTGGCTTCCAGCTGCACGGTAGGACCCTAAGGATGGACCTTAGACGAAGCGAAAGCAGCTCTCATGGCGGTCATGGCCGAGGCCATGGCAGCGTCCATGTACCTCTTGGAGACGATGGCAGCGGCAGCGCCGAGGGACTTGCCCACCTTCCGCGTCGCGTCTGCGGCTCGCTCGAGGCTCGACAGCTCCTCCGCGGCCGACACGTCGGCGGCGTCGTGGAACCTACTGAAGTCGGCCATGGCGGCCTCCATGAGGGACTCGAGCTGGTTCTCCGCATCTTTCATGGCGTCCTCCGCGTCGTCGACGGCCTTCAGGTGCTCGGCCTCGGCGGCAGCCCACGACGCGTAGGTCTCTTGCTCGAAGAGGCACAGGAGCTGTTCGATCTTTGAGGGATCGAAGTTCTTGTCGTCCAGGGCTTGGTCGGCGAGGAAGGCGAGTTGGGAGAACAGAGCTTCCATGGCTCGCTGCGTACAGAGGTTGGAAGTCTCATATGCCGCAATTATATTCTTGCTTTGGACTAAAGGGGGCCAACTTGCAAAGCTGATACTGGTCGGATCAGGTGTTTGGACTCGAACACGAGTGCCTCGTGGGAAGACCATGATAATATGACACGTGGTCAACTCAGCGCCGTAAGTATTTTAAGATTTCTATAATCAGTATTATATATATATATATATATATATATATATATATATATATATATATATGTATATGTGTATATATATGTATATATATGTATATGTATAAATATATACATATATAGAAGAATAACCTATAATGTATCTTGTTGTCATCTAAAGACTATCCATGCACCTCAGCTATCAGCTTAATTTCTCTCTCTCTAGAGAGAGAGAGAGAGTGCCTCTCAAACCAGAGTGCAAAGGGTTCAATGACAAAAGCAGCAATGGCATTTCTGTGCACCACCAGCACGAAGGTGGTTCATCCCGGCGTACCCATACTGCGCAGCATCACAAACACATACACCTTCGCCGTCCTCATCGCCTCAACGAATCCCATTATTCTCAGACCACAAAAACTCCCCTTTTCCTCTTCTTCTCTGTTGCAGACAAATAACGTAACGAAATGTCGAGACTTGCATAGCAGAAAATGCTCAGATCCCACTCCATTATCATGTTGAACTCAAGAGTACAATTAAGCACCAAACACTCAGAGAGATGTCAAGGAAAGCTTCAAATCTCTTTCTCTTGTTTTAGTTTAATCCGCATAGTGGCAGAAGTGCATGGTAATGTGGAACTTGTTGAGGGACGACTAATGAACACCTTGCATGGTGAAGGCTGATGCAACCGAGTGGTGTGGTCGCTACAGAGGATTTCAACCCGCAGACCACATGCGACGCTGCTGGTTTCCTAAGAGGAGAAAGGTGGGATGTCGAAAAGCATATGGGTTCATCTTCATACCAGAGATCCAAAGCTAATTGAAGCAAAAGCTCATGCTCTCTATCTGCATCTGGCATCAGAATCCTATGTAGGTTCCTCTTCTTCCTTGCAGTTTTCCGTCTACCTCACCTCTAGTGGAAGCATGACGATCTCTAATGATTGTCATTGCTTCAACAGATAGATAGGTGGTTTACACCTACAAACATTTCCACCATGGTGTTCTTTGATTACAGATGGACATGCAGTTGGCGTATCAAATTGTTGTTCTTTCCTACCCTTTTGAGGCCACAAAACACCAACTTTTGCGGGGAGATTTTAGTATATCAGATTCCTGTTCTTTGTAATTTGATTTTTGGTCGATTCGAGTTCGATCTAATTGTGTTTTTTACTTGAAAGCCGTGCATGAGAATTGAACTAACAGTGCTTATTAGTTGCTAGCAGAGTGCTTGCCCTGTCTTGAAGTCTTTGATTCTGATACTCTCAGGACGTACTGCTGTTTCGCTTGTCTGGCTATGCATTAGCTTCGAAGAAGGAGGATTAATCCTTATATACATTTACTACCATTTTGATGAATTCAAGAATCGAAAGCTTCAAACTCAAAAGTAGGTGACAGTTTGGTGCTCTCCTTTCCTATCTAAAAGGGTCTTCGTACATAATATTGTTCGATAAGCTCCATGCAAATCTCTCCTTTTGATGTGAAGAAATAAACCGAGCTCCAACGAAAAATGAACATATGAAATTAAAAGTGTCGTAGGATGCCAAATTCTCTACCCTTTGTTCTGTGGATAATCTTTCATTCACCATCTTTGTTAAGGAGTTACAATCATAATCTTAATCTCTGTCTGGTACATGCTGTAAAAACATTCTTTTACTTCAGAAAACTCAAAGGGTAACAACACGCTATGGAATATTGCTCAAGGCCAGAATGAAGTCTCTGTAATCTCCATCGGGAAGGCTCTCACAAATGGCATCTTGCATCTTCCTACCGTACATCTTCTCAAAGGCTGATCTCACCTCTTTCATGCCCGCATCAGTGCTTCCAAGCATTACCCTTGTCAGAACTCTTGCATCAGTATCTCCCATCTTTATGCTCTTGTTCACCATCTGAAGCACGTCAATGGATATGAATCGAAAGCATCATAGCAGAAATATCAATCGGTAGACTGAGATAGAAGCACCTACTCTGGAGTAGTATTGTGCGGGATTATGAACACATTTTATGGCAATCCTCAGTGCTTCCTCAAACTCTCCGCTTGTGTCTTTCTTCAATGCCTATAGATCAAATTGAATTGATCAAAGCTCCGTCTTAGGATTCTTGGAGCACACAGTAGCACAAGCCCTCTGTGGGAGCTTACCTTTGTGTAATCATGCCCATATATTTGTTTGTAGCTGAAGAGTGCCAACCTCAGTTGCGGGATGCCTCTCTTGCTAAAGATCTCAAGGACCAGAGACTCATCAGTCCCTCCCGTGCTGCAATGTCCTGCTTCATACAGCCTCTTAGCATCGCATTTGGCAATGTGTTGACTGACATCGGTGTGGTGCGACTTTTGGGAGGCCGCAAGAGCCAGCAGAAGCTGACATGAAACCATACTTCCAACATTAATCTTTGTGACACATCCTGGAGTCAAAAACCCAGATATCTGCAAGAAACCTACCTTCTGGTATGAGTTGGATGGCTCAGAAATCATGTCTTGATCCATGTGTCTCTTGAACTTTGCTAGATATGCATGCTTGGTGAAGAAGAGCTGGCTCAACTTTTGCCGAGTGTAGATCTCAATGAGGGCTTTGTAATCTGTGACTCTGCGCTCGATTGCATCATTTGCAAGAACAGCGTCGCGTTCGTGTGGCTCGAGCATCCATAAGTACAGCGCGTTGCACATCTGCACGCATGATCATAACAGTGTTTATGCAATTATCGCTGCACTGTCGGACGCATCTGAACAACATGATTTTAACAATGCTCATGCGATTATTACCGATACAGCAGAATCGAATGCTTGTGGCGATGGCAACCACGGATCTCACCTCATTCTTCGAGTTGGCCATGTGGGTTCTGCGAAGGTGTTCGACGAAGTCCTCACCGAACATGGCTCGATACATCTCCTTGATCTGTCGCCTCTCTGCTAAAGTTCGGTGCGCCAAGGCCCGAGCTACAAGATTAAGCTGATCCCATGTCGCATGAATCTCTTGACAGACATGGCTGAGTTCCATGTTGAGTGCTTGGAGTGGGTTCATAGCAGCTGCAGAACTTTATACAACCAACACCTTGAGGCACAAGGAAGAGACTTGGAACTTTAGAAATGGATTCAGCAGATATGACATCTGGGGATGTTGTGGTGTGGCAATGTGGCAATGTGGATGGTTTTGGTGCCTTCATAGTGAGCTCTGAGTGTGATTCCTTCTCTTTAGCTATACCTTTTTGTGGTACTCACCCTTTTTGTCATCTGAATGCCACCTTAACTTTCCACCCTTTCATGGTCATTGGCCTGACGAAGGTTGGACAATTGCTATTCATGTGCTTGCTTTTAGCCTTCGAATGGAACCCACCACTGCGTGCATCGAATAAGTTTAATTCAGATGTTGGCATGGACTGGGTTGGGTGACTGAGAGTACAGTCAGCTGAAGATCCAAGCTGTTCTCCACGATCTACATGTTTTGCTTTGAACCACATACACAAACCACTTGCTGCCACAATTCACAGGATAAAAACATCAAATAAGGCAGATGAATGAAAACAAGAGCATAAACATCGATTGTTCCCACATCACATCGAATCTCAAAGCTAAATGCAAATCCACGAAGGATTGAGTTTCATTGTAGCACTAGCAAGGATTTCAAAAAGGTCACCACTTCTACTTTGGTATTGCATTGTATACTTTCCGCCAGCAGATGATAAAGTAAGTCAAGAATAATAAAACTCGTGGGGGGCAACTCTTTCTTTTGTATCCTTTTTTTTTTGGCAATTTGGCATTTCTAATATTCACAGATATCAAGATGCAACGCAGTAGTAACACAGTGCAAACATCCAATCTTAACATTAATATACCATTATGCATTTGGGATACAGTACATAAGGCAATGATATGTTTTATTTTTCCCACTTTTCTGCTGGGTAATTTCTTTACAAATGGAAATGGCAACTTTAATGGAGTATTTAGCTGTTATCATTTATGAATAGATCATTTATGGCAATCTTCTCCCCTTGTTGATGAAACGAAAAATGGGAGCCTTATCAGCAAAAACCAGTCTTCCATCAGATGATTGGGTGATATACTTCCATGCTGGGCCAAGAAACCACGATACCGCCGCTCCACCTAGCAATCCTCCCAACTGAAATTGCATGTACCAAAACGTAAGGTACAGTTGCAGAATGATTAGTTTGGTCTACAAGGTAAATGGCGAGTTTGAGGAGCATACGTGACCCCAGTTATCGATGCCCTTGGAGAGAAACCCAATAACCTGCAGAATATATTTTCATCAGAAAGGAGTAGAATTGCAAGGGGAGAATATCTGCTAGAAACTAATTCATTACCATGTTCAAGGTAATGACATGGGCAACATGCAGCAAATCCTTCTTTCCACCCCCAACAAGGTTTCTATGCCTCGAAACAAAGACAGCATATGAACCGACCTAATAATATTCATAGGGATTAGCAAATAAGTACAGTGCCTGATGATATCTTATAATAAAACAAGGGGAAAGCAAGTAAGATTTGAAGCAAAAAGTCTAAGCAGTTGCTTTCCCCCGGTTAAGGTTTCTATGTCAAAAAGAAATCATATGAAATATCTAACAATATTCATATGAATCACAGAAAACATAAAATAAATGAAATGATTCAAATGTCAAAACAAGGAAAACAGGGTTTTAACTTTTAAGTAAGATAGAATCATAGTAATATATCCAAAAGGATACTCATTATATTGCAAACACAAATATAAAATAAACCACCAAGTGGAGCAAACTGCAGATTATACAGATGACGCTGATGACAAAAACAAACTAAATATTACAAATTATACCTCTTGATTTTTGCTAATGCCGACAAGAAAAAGAAAAAAAAATCAGTTTGTTACGGTATGAATTATGCATGGAAGTCTGAAAGAACATGTACACAAATCCATTAAACATATGATAGACTGCTAAATGGAAAAACAATTCATGGTTTATACAAAATATAAAAAAAAACTTCTAATTTCCCATTCCACTTTCTTAAAGTTAAAATCAAATAGACAAGCATATAGAAGATTCATATTAAAAGAATAAACTCAAGAACAATTCGAAGCTAGACTAAAAAAAAAGGTGCAAAAATTTATTCTGATCTTAATGAGTTACCTTACAACAGAATTCTAAATCTTGGTTACTAGAAAATACCTAATACAACTGAAGCAGCACATATACTTGGGCATATATGTAACACAAAATAAAAAAAATATCAAAAGGACTTACTAATCCAAATATGGCACCAGATGCGCCAACAGCAGGTGACTGACTAAAATGGTAGCTCATCAGTGAACCTAGTTTCCTTGCCAAAAAAAGTAATTAGGACTTAAAATCAATGCAGCAATTTATATATTCAGTCTTCAGTAGCATGTACATGATTTCTTACTTGCTATTGCCGAAGTGAAGTAAATTGCAAGAAATCGTCTAGGCCCACTAAGTTGCTCCACTGTAGGACCAATGGAGTTCAAAGAGTAACTGTTAATCTGCCAAAAAATCCTCAGACACCTGATGTTTACCATGCCCTAAATTGAGAAAAAAGTTCTCAAGAACAAACCATAAGGTGCCCAATGTTTGCATGCAGAAGTGATGACGTTACCAATCTCCATAGTTGCCCTTTATTTATTAGGCTATTGACCTAAACAAAAATAACAGAGTCATTAGAAATTGGGATGAGTAGCCGCAGGCCCACAGTTGCAGCAAAAGATCAACTCAAATGTCCAACCTTAGCACCCCATAAAAGCAGCTTCCCCTGGGTTGCAATCTGGGCTGCATAAACCCTGGAAACAAGAAAAAGGATTTAAAAACTGAAAAGTTAGCATGGAGAATCATAAGAATGACGAAAGGTAGACAAAAGCAAATAAACGATGAGAACAATAGAAGAAAAAAGGTACTTAGTCATTTATTACGAAATTATACAAAAAGAACATAGGTCATATTCATTCTAGCTGTTGCTGTTACATCAAATGATCTACGAGGTTTGGCTGACACAATGAGGAATAATGGAAAAAATGAAAGGAATAAAGATAAAGAACACCATAAATCCTTGTCTCCATACCAAACCTAAAGTAACCTTTTTTTTCAATAACATTTTATTTATCAGATTAATGAAGAACTGAAAGCATTTATATCCTATTGCTGAATGTGATCCCCATACTGATGAAGTTTTTGCTTATTCTGTTCATGGATGCATGAATCCACTTAGTAAAGCATCAAACCCTTTTTGCCAACCAATATACCAGCATACTATGTGTCAGTGTGCCAATACATACCGGACCCATACCGGTGTGGCCAACGACCAATCTGAAACAAGGACCCCAATGATCACAAAACCATAAAAGGCTAAGCATCCACAATGGTTAAAGAACAAATCTTGAGAACACTATAACCTATTCTCACACTTTTTTTACATCATCTTTTAGACCGTCAATTGACTCTCTATCACCATTGCTAAACTGGACATATTTCTAATAGGCCAAAATGTTACGATGCTGGTCTTCAACATAAAATAGCATGGAATAAAGGAACTCAATCTTCTAGCATCGAAATCTGATGTCTGATCTGGTCTTCCATGTTATATTGTTTTGGCATCAGAATAAAAAATAGCAGAAGTACCTAGATGCCCTGAATGCATCACTTAGAAGTTCAATACAGAAAACAAATATTTGCAATATGTCTAATTAAGACACCTGTCTTTTCAAGGGCCAGACATGATGGTTGCTATATTACTGAACAATCAATTGGAATGAAAAGTTGGAACCTTGTAAATAGGATGATTGAGTTCCTATACTTCGCTGCATGTTCTGTTCTGGTTTCTCAGCTGTCTTAAAGAATGACAATGACGACAAGGGTAGGTCTATATCATGTTTAACATATCAAAAATTTCTGATTGAGCTGAAAGAAGAGTAGCCAGTTTATCATCGTTAAAAGTCATTTTAGGTTAATTAATTGAACAAAAGATCGAATAGAAAAATTTACTTGCATAAAACTAAATGAATGACTCTTTTGCTATGCATTTGCCTACATCATGATCTAGAGAATGTTGGGAAATGGCAAAACAAGATCCAAATCTTTGAAATGTTCAAAATCTTGGACTCACAACACGTTAACGGCCAGAAGGACATTGGTCCACTTCCTTCCGTCAGAAGGCTTCCCTTGAGAGTTCGTCATTTGCGCCCTTCCTTTGTCCATATATCCCTTCCCAGATTCGTTTTCGCTAAAGAAATAAGAGCAAGACGAACACGACGCCAAGAAAGCATCCGACAATTTCTCAAGAAAAGCAAAAGTCTTCAAGGAGTATCTTTTTCTACACCAGAAATCCTGCTTTTGGGGCAAGTTGCCCAAATGATAACCTTCGTGCTGGGCATAAGAGCGGAGGTGTAAATCAGAAACAAATTATGTTCTTGGCAGGGGAAAAGGATGGATAACTGGTAAAATTAGGGTTTAATACCGAGGACGACGAGGGAGAACAGAGGAGGAGGTGGAGGTGGGCGGCGCAGCGTTCACGGAAAAGGTGGCCCAGACGGAGGGAGGAAGCCACGGCGATGAGATGCGATGGCGACGCGCCGCCGGACGAAAAGGAAGCCGGGACCCAAGGACGCGGTGGGAACGCCGCCATTACCCTAAGCCGAATCCCACCTTTTCTTGACACAGAGATCAGCACAACGCCGGCGAGCGGGCGGAGAGAGAGAGAGAGAGAGAGAGAGAGAAGCGATTAGGTTGCTTTAGCCGGAGGCACAAGCATAGCATCGGGCTCAAAAACCGTTATAATAGGTTTATAACACGTTACGATAAATATAACGTATGGTTCCAACTTCATTATACGATTCAGATATTATATTTTCAACCGTTATAACGAGTTATAACGGGAAATAATGACGGATAAGGTTTTTGTGAAGGATAATTATACAATATGCAAGTTTCAACTTCATGTCGGAGGACAAAGTATTCAAAGAAACTGTCAGGATAATAATAATAATTATTAGGCGAATCATTATGTAAATGAAACCCAAATAAACTATACAGGCAATACATGCAATTACATTGCATGTTTCATGAGTGGTAGAGACTAAATCCTAAATCTCACAAATTATGCATATATATTTTTTAGTTTTTTATTTCACATTATTTTTTATTAATGCATTTAAATTTTATATCTATAATTTTTAAAATTAAAAAGTATCTCAATAGGATGTTTCAATTTAATTTGTCTATTATATGGTATTTGGTGGGTCGTTTTATGTTGGATGCGTGTTAGCAATTCTAGCTTGTGGGTTGGCGGGCCGGATTGGAATAATGGATGGGAAATCCGGCCCGCGCAGACCAGATGCGTTTCAGATGCCGGATCTGATGAACCGCGGTCGGACATGATCAAATCCGACCCAATTGGATAAACGGGCATACGGATTTTTTTTAGGGCTGTGGGCGGGTTATTTTAAGGTAATTTCTAATAAATATTAAAAATGATAATCCACAATTAAATACCAATTAGAGAATTGTTAGGTCAATTTGTCAATGTGGGGTCCAAATACAGTAAACTGTGGTTTGATTTAGGGCTATATCGATGCAAATGACTCCCAACTTAAATGTGATAACAAAATCAAAATCCAAATCCAAATCCAAATCGATAGGTGTCCAGTCAAAGTCAAGTCCTGGTCAAATCATAATTGGGCCGGACGTCACACGTGGCTTTGGGTTGTGGACCACCTAGGCAGTTTGCTGTAACAGTACTAGGAAGGTTCGCCGAGTTTTCCTTTTTCTATCAGTTAAAGAGTCAAAAAAGAATTGGAGGACAGCTCCCCATGAAAGCTGTGTGCGCTCCTCACTTTTTTGACCTTGAAGCTGCCATGGTAAGTGTCCTTCGTCATGCTTTGGCTTTGGTATTGGCACGCAGGCTGTCAACACGCGTAAACCGGCACATATATTTGGACAAGCAAGGACTTCCTTCCGTGCTTGTAATGTGGGCACTGTTGGCGTTCTGTGTGCGTGTGTTATTGCTCATTGAATACTTGGGAGGCTTTAGATAATCCTCCACTTACCTCTCAGTGATCAGTTTCACCTGTTTCTGAGACTGGTTAAAACTCCTGTCAAAATTGACAGACTGCAGTTTAACATGATGGTGCCAGGCTAACTGATCCTTACTCTACTCGATAGCATCATCTTTAATTCTATCCTACTTGCGCATTGATGGTGAAACCTTATGTTTAGATTTGATCACTGGTATAGTCCAACCATAAGGTGTGTCGGAGTTGCCTGGGGCTGCATATGAAGCAGATAGATAATGACATTGTCCATCACATGGAAGTTAATGCATTTCAACAGGCATTCTATGAAGGAGCTGCTCCTCAAGGTGACATCTTGGTATGGGGCAGGGAATGGGTGGTACATTAACACAGCTTCTCAAGCCACATGCCAAGTCTTTTATCTGATGCTGTAAATTGGGCATGCAATCATAGAATTAACACCACATATCCTAATTTCTTCCTATACCAGAGATCTGATGGAAGAAGATCTCCACATGGAGATCAGCTGACAAAAAATTATTCACGAGTACTTCCAAGATCATGAGAATGAAGTTTCTGCTGCTAAAGTTTTTGGCATCATTTTTTATGGCATTTGTCTGTCATTCTAGTGACTTAATATGTCAATATCTAATAGCTTGGCTTCTTATTCATTTGATGATCATTTATGGCATGAGTTCATGGCTTAGCATCTTATTATAAGCCAACCTATTATGGTTTTATTTCTTCTCTACAAACTCATTGTTTCTCAGCTTAATAATTGTGAGTCAACCTCTTATGATTTATACATATGGCTCGACCGCTATCGAATGATGTTAAACTTGGAAACCCGACTTAGAGATCTTGATACATTAATAAAAATAAAAATAAGATAATACTTCTGTGCTCAAAGCAACAAGATAAAATGATATATGAAATGATATACTCTTGCAAGCATATCCAAATGTCATTTACTGTTGCATCAATTCAAATGCCCCATACCGATGTATACATATCAATGTTTAACATGCGTGCCTCAAATATTTGTTGGTTTTCCGATGGCTTGCCATTTCTCCATCGCACAGAACTTATTTAACAGATCTACTAACACTTATTGTCCGTCAGTCATGTAGAATAAGTATTGCCTGTGTTGCTTGTCAGCAACGAAGCTCTCGGACATAGATGCATGGCTCTCTACCATCGCTACGAGCCATTGAAATAGATGAGCTTACCTACCAGATTAGCTTTCAGAACAAAACAGCTGTCTTTGACCTCCCATGCCGGAGCTCAGGCATGGTCACGGCCGACACTCGCACGCCACCCATTACACTCAGGAAGGCCGCATGAACATTCCTTTCCACTTAGGTATCTTATAACAATGACGCAATGGATTCTGATCAGCAGTAAAGTGTAAAACGAAACTTTGTCATACTGATCGAAGTCATCCTCACAAGGAAGACATAATGAGAGACATCTACTCTTCTGAAAGCAGAGTTCTTGGTGGAGGCAGTACAAACACTAGCAGGCTTTGCTGCTAAACAAGCACATGCATCATCATCATCAGCAGTCCCATTGGAAAGCTAAGGATGACTTTTAGGGTCTCGTCGACGTCAACACGCTTGAGTGTACTCGAGGCTGATGCAGCTCGAGACTTTGAGTGAGTGGCATCTGATCGTCTCACGCGGCTAAGTCCTGGGAGACAGTGGAGCTCCAGCTATTAGAGCTTGTGTCGGAAATAAGACTGTGACAGTGGAGAGGTTGTGGAGAGCTGGCTGTGATGTCGCTCTAGCTCTCGGCATCGGCAGAATCCAGGAAGCTGCCTCGAGGAATCCTGTGGTTTTAGTAATCGAACTTTCGTGATCTCGAGTGCAGTGCAGACATCTCATGGGAACAAGTGATCGAAGAAGACAAACGCCTTCATTTAAGAAATGCGTCTTCACGGTACATGCCTCCGTGTACGGCAGCACTCCTCGAAGTCGTTCAGTAGATCGATATGCCTCGAGGGTTAAGATGGTACGTGAAACCGGCAGGTGGTTGGGTCAACGTAGATCATGCAGTCAAATTATCGTCTGTCTCACAGGGTGAAGTAAATAGTGTTTCTTATTGACCATTTCACACAAATGGTTCTTCCAGAAGGGCTTTGTTTAATGAGAGACTGCGTTGTTAATTATTCATCATTTTTATTCTTAACATATACTATTAATATTTGAAGGAATAATTTGTTTGGCTTCTAGGAATGAAGGAAAAGGATCTATGTTTAGTTGAAGTTGAGAATGCATGTAGCATTTGCTTCTGCTCTCATGTATGAGACATGTATGCTTCAGTGAGGAATAGTATATGAAGTGGGGAGGTAAAAACAAGTATTATTATGGCACGAAAGGAAAATAATTATCTGAATGCATATCTGACAAACTCAGGAAAGTGAAGGACTAAATAATTCTAGAATTCATGTACCACCTGACCTATTAATAAGGATCATGTTTGTTCTGCAAACAGCTTTTATTCCCAGTCTTTGTTTTCCTGGTTTTTACCACAGAGGATCCTCTCCAGTCTATAAATAAGCTACTAACCTCATTCTCTTGCTGATACATCCTCGAACAAGAGATCGTTTTGGAAGAAACAAAGCAAGACAGAGCTGTACAACGACATCAACACCATCCGACCATGGTGAAGAGCAGCAGCAGCAAGGTTCTTCAAGCTTCAGCTGATTCCAACAACAACAGCACTCCATCAAAGCTAGGCAGCAACGGCAAGAGGCACTACAAGGGTGTGAGGATGAGGAGCTGGGGCTCATGGGTCTCCGAGATCAGAGCGCCGAACCAGAAGACCAGGATTTGGTTGGGCTCGTACTCGACGCCGGAGGCTGCCGCCCGGGCCTACGACGCAGCGGTGCTCTGCTTGAAAGGCAGCTCTGCCAGCCTCAACTTCCCCGCTTCGCCACCCTTTCATGTCCCAGACGCCATTATGTCCCCCAAGTCCATCCAACGAGTGGCGGCGGCAGCTGCTGCGGATGCAACAATGTCATTCTCTGGCCTGGACGCCATGTCGCCACCCTCTCCTCCTCCAGCATCGTTGCAATCGGCATCACTACCATCAGGCGTCACCGATGGCGACACATTGATGACAAGCCAAACGGAAGAAGCTCCATTCGGTGACGATTGTTTGCTTGACACGATCGACGTCGAGGCCTTCTTCCAATCGCCCAAGTTCATGGACTACATGCTTCACCCGTCTTCCTTCTTTGGTCCTTCCCAAGTCGACGACTGCGGCGAGGAAGGCGACATCAGCCTCTGGAGTTTCTGCTAATTACATTTCACCATGTTCTCTATCAATTCATGAAGATGAAATTAAGAGAATCTACTGACTGTTGATGAATATGTTTTATTTGATTTCTTTCAACATGTCTATGAGCTGGTCCATAGGATGCTCCTTCTTGATATATGTAACAATCTTATCTACTTGTAAAATATTTTCAAGGATTAGATCAAATAATGGTTTTGGAATTAGCATGACATTAGATTGTTCCTACCTGTGAGTACTCCACAATGATATGCAAGGTATTGAATGCAGATTGAGAAGGATGATTTGTAGCAATATAGAGCAGACTGAGGACTCAAACTGAGATCAAGGAGGCTGGTTTCTGTGTCTTGTGATGGAAGAAGGTGAATTGGCCATCTGAAAGAAGTAATGTTATAAGGTGAGTGTAGATT